GGGATCCGACCCCTCGGCGGGAGCGCCGCCGCACTTCCCAAGTGGTGCACTGTAGCAGTGCACCACCGGGCCGGCCCAGCTGGTCCTTGGTTTTGTGGAAAGTTTTTTGATTACCAATTCAATCTCTCTACTTGTTATAGGTCTACTCAGATCGTTAAATTTCTTCTCAAGTGCATTTTGGAATTTCATGTCTTTCTAGGAATTTGTTTCATCAGGTTATCTAATTTGTTGACATATAATGATTCACAGTGTTCCCCTTATAATCCTTCTTATTTCTGTAAAGTTAGTAGTGATGTCCCTATATCGTGCCTTATTTTAGTAATTGAGTCTCCTCTATTTTTTCTTAGCCAATCTAGCTAAAGGTTTATCAGTTTTGTTGATCTGTCAAAGAAACAACTTTTGGTTTTGTTGATTTTCAGACATGTCTTTGATTCATATTTGGTATTTCATAAATAAGGGAAATGCATGATCCATTTTAGAAAGAGTTCTATAAAAAAATAATTAGGATGTGTTTTAATTTGTTATTTTTCTAAGTAAACTTCAGCTCTCTGGAAAATGAACCTGAGTAGAAGAGCTGACAATAGTTGGTAAATGGAGTTACTGTGAATGGTAGTTTTCATTCCTATATTCCTTTTCTTTCTCTTTTCCTACACCACTCTAGGTTGGATAAGAATTTTAAAATAAAAACTCAAATATGAAAATCTTATAAGAAGTAAAGGCCAGGATTTCAGCCTCATCTATTCCCAGAAGATAGCAAGTGTAATTAATGATTCTTTCACACCGAGAGAAGGCTCGGTCCCTATGGAGGTGGGGCAGGGATGACATGCGGCTGTGAGACATCCTCTTCATGTGTCCCAGACCATTTGCATGCCCTCTGAAGACACCAGAGCTAAAATCCAGCTCCCTCAGATATTCCCTAACCCCTCCGTTCAGAACATTCTCAGTCAACAAACATTTAATGAGACTTGTGGGAAGGACCTAGAAGGATGCTGTCCTTACTCTTGCCCTTGAGGAAAAAAAGTATACGAATGGGATGAAAGTGTGTGCAAAAATATAGAACAAGCAAAGGAATAAACAGCTTTCTGCTGGGCTGGGATGAGGGGACAGGTGGAACTTTGTAGGGCCAAGGCCCTGCCTTAGGTGTGTGTAGCTCATACCTGAGGTCTGATTGGGCCTGGATCTTCTGAACCTTAATATCTGAGTCCAGAACGTTCAGCAGCACCGCCAGCTGCCTCACCAGGGTGTCCTTCTGCTGCTCTGTCAACTGCCCGACACCAACCTGCAGGATCAGCTCCACCAGGCCACCCTTCTTAGGGTCTGGGAAAATAGAAGATATGGGATTTCCACTTGGAGATCACAGGCTTGACAACGTAAGGAGCAAGGCAGTTTAAAATTACTTCTATGTCATTTCTACATTTGGGTTTTAGGACTCAAATAGATTCTAATTATCACAGAGGCCACTATCTGGGAGTACTTTTTCCTTGTTTTATCCCAGTGATTGTCTCTTAGAAGATGACCAGGTGTACCTAATTAGCCTCTGGGCTAACTTGAAATCTTGGCACCTCACATTCTTCCCCAGGACTGAAAGAGAACTTGTCTCCAAATGCAGTGGGCACTGCCCAGGCCAGTTGACACAGGGAGTCCTTATGCCCTGTCACTGGAGCTGCCCTCCCTCAGCGCCCCCTGTATTGAAGCCTTTGTGTTCCCTTCCCTTTAAGTCTTTGTCTTCTGGCAGGAAAACTGAAAAGAAAATCCTGCTGCCAGACACAATTCTCCTTAATGAGTTATGAGACTGGATCTATTAAGGATATACTACAAAGTATAGGGAAACCTTCAAAGTGGGCCCAGCCAAGAGCTAAAGCCAGCTGCAGGAGGCCTCCTGTGTGTGCTGGGTCCCACCTGTGGACTGCAAAGAACCCCAAAGGCTGAGCAGCCAGACCATGCCCGGGCCAGCTCCACAGCCGTGGACGCACCTGGCCGCACCTCCACAGTGGCAGTGTCCATGTCTGAGGCCCCCTGCCTGTCAATGACCCGCAGGTGGAAAGTGTAGACCCCCTCCACCAGGTTCGTAAGCTGCAGGGCCGCACTGTGGTCAGAACCGTCGATGACATCCTGCAAAATAACATGGTTAACAGGGCAGTTGTCAATCCTCAGTTTCCAACTTCTGGGCTTCTGTTGTTCCCAAACCTCAGCGTCCCATGTTTTTTAAGGACTTTAAGGAGGAGGCTGAGGAGGAATGAGGCTGGCAAATTAGCTTCTCTCCTCCATAAAGCACCAGAGGCATGAATTCCTGACAGTATTTCCTGAGCTCAGCTTACCAAGCACTTTCTAGGAATTACCAAATGATTAATTTCATCCAACAGAGGGAAAGGACATTGAAATTAGGGCAAGGACCACAGAAATGAAGCAGAGGTTTTCTGGGTCTCACTTTCAAACATAGCTTTACGATACTCTCATCTTGGGTTCCCTCAAAGTGTATCATGTTCACCTTCTCAAATGACCCAAGAACCTGGGAGGAAACATTTCTGTTCTGTGGGCCTCAAAGCTCCAAAAAGTTAGAGAAGAATTTCCCATATCCCTGCTCTGAACTTGCTAACAGAACAGGACAGTAAAACGTAAGTGCTCTAAACAGAGACCCATTATAATTACACTCAGAAGCTAATTTATCATCTAACTGAATATAATTCATTCCAGAGGTGCTTTAGAAAGT